AAATTAGTAAAGAAATTGGCAAAATCTTAAATGCTTTGAGCTTCTTGAAAAGCACTCTTAAATTGCATAGCGATAACCAGCATTGTTGTCGACCCTCTTGTGTACCTGAACTCAGATTAGGAGAGTGATTTATATTGGAGGTTTTATGACAGAGAATCCAGTTTGCTGATCTGAAATTATTTAACCTGAATATCTTTACTTATGTTTTTTGATTTCACAATGCTGCACCAGTGATGCTGGCATATCAGTTTTGAGTTACTGTATAAATTACGGTATTGTCTTAATTTTATTGCATATTGTTTTCTGCTTTCTCTACTGTACTATTGGCTTCCAGAAACTCAGATCTCTGTTTTCTCCAGACCGAGGTCTGCTGCAGGATTCTCTGTGCTGGATTGGACACGAGGGCTTTAGGATAAACTTACAGGATACCTTTATGCTTTATATAGTTTTATCTAGCCTCTCAAATGTAGTGTTGCATGTCCTCTGTAAAGTGAACTGTGACCTTTGTGGACAACCTTAGTTTTATCCCTGGAGTGAAATGGTAAGCCGTTGACTGACACCCCTCTGCGGCTAAATTCCTTCTGATTTCCAGTGCCCAGCCAGCTGTCAGATTCCCAGTATTCCTGCGCTGCCTGTGTGGATTCTGGAATGTTGGATTAGCGCTGCTTTGGAACACCGCTGCTATGTGGCTTGTGTTCAGAAGCCCTGGCTAATCCCCATGGGGGCGCCAGAGACATGCACAGAGTTCTGTGTCTGTCAGCGTGCTCCGTCCGCATCCCACCTCCAGTTCCACATTCCGTACTCTCTCCATCCTCTCTCCCCGGAGAGACAGCGCTGCGCTCGGATAACCCTCTCCCCAGGAGACGTGGGCGGCCACGTCGAAGCCCTCCTGGCGTCGGAATGCACACCGCCGTGCCTCGAGGCTCTGCTGGCGGGCTGCACCCCCGCGGCGGGAGGGCTGAGCGAGGGGGCTCTCTCGTGTCGTATCGGGAGCAGCTCTGCAAGATGAAGTGGGCTGCCAAGATAGTGCCCATCTCAAAGGGCAGCGGGCGGTGAGTCACAGCCCTCGAGTGTGTATGCCCTGTATTGGATTTCCTAGGCTGAGGGGTTCAGCCAGCTTTAGGTGAACTTTCTCTGTAGAGTCGCTGCCTGTGGCTCTTGCCTCTGTCCAGAAAGGGCAGAAAGGCAGCTGTGCTCTTGGCAGAGCAGACCCCTGACCCCTGACCCCTGACCCCTGTCCTCCCCGTTCGGGGCTGACTTATCTAGGGCTGACAGAGTAATCCCCTTCTGTACAGCTGCACCTCTTCTTCAAGGCTGGGGTGTTCTGTACAGAGGCCTATGTCTTCCACTCGGAGTGCACTTGCGGAGTGAACTGTGGAGTGCACTGCGGAGTGAACTCACTGGCGTGGGAGTCATCTAAGTGCCAACACAGCCAGTTTTAAAGAGAAATTACAGCAATTACTTTATACAAAAAGTAGTAATCTCACTTTTAAAGGTTTTAAAGGCAATGAATTGTTATATTCAGATATTTTGAAATAACTTTTAAATATTATCAGCGGTATAAGCAGACGGGAGAGTTTTAACGTTGGTTTTCATGCAGAGTGAGTGAGGAAGAGATGGTGTTCAAGCACCAGTTTATTCGAGCTGAAAGTTAAGGTTTAGAAATGTCTCTAGCGGTTTTAAGAATTTGAACTGAGTGACTACACGTTGCAGACAGTCTCTGCATCAGTGACATTGGATTAATCCCAGTCCTCCATTCAAGTGACACACTTTTACCCCCGGGGAGACAGAAAATATCTTTGTACATTTCTAAAGGCCGGGCTAAGCCTGTTAATTAGCTTAGTTAACTAATTAGGTATCTGCGCTGATCAGGTCTGAGTAAAAATCGTTTGTGGGCATTGACGACTGTTTTCTCTGAGCCTTACAAGAGCATTGTAGGCCCTTATCCCCGATAATAAAGGCGAGTCCCTGCTTGCACGAACATCTTTAAATGGATTGAATTAACTTTGAATTATTTCCTACAGCTTAGCCATCCTCAGCTGGCCGCACTGGAGTTGTGGAATGTTAAGGGGTAGAAGTCTTGCCAGGTCTTAGGAAGATTTGTGTTTACAGCTCTGGTAATAATATGTTGTTGCCTGGAAAAGACAAAGGGATGAAATATGTTGTCTAAAAATACAATTCCAGATAACAGGGGCAATGCCCCATTGAAATCCAACACTGTATGACTTCATGTTGAAGTCCTGTGTTTGAAAGACATCTGTTCCTGGTTTTTGTGGGTTGCTTTCTGAAGTAAGCATAAACATGTTTGCTGCAGAGTTGCTAGGCAGCGGGGAACACATGGAGGAGAGGGAACTGGAATGGACTTGCGTCTGCAGCCCAGCTCAGTCTCTCTGGAATAGGGCTGCCCAGACCAGACACATGCACTGTTGTCCTGCAGGAACTTGTGGGCTCATTACACAGGGGTCTCCAGTCTCGGTCCTGCGGCTTTTATAGCTGTCTATAAAATAATCAACTCTTTAAAGCCTGCAAAAAAAAAAAGAGTCACATGAAAGATTAATGTATTTAACGTTGACATTTGTTTTTAAATAAGGCCGATTAAATCAGGGCTCTGTCTTGAGCACTACAGCCCAGCGGGTCTTAGGTCTTCTTAAATCATCTGCAGGAGGTTTACATTGGTCCGATTAATTGAGCGAATATTACCCTCTTCCTGAGATCTTGGGATGACTTGAGAGTCTTACACAACCTGCCCGACCACTGTCCTAGAGGACTAGAATTAAATGGACCGTAAATCTTCTCCACTGGGGCCTTCTGTTGTACAGAAGGAATCCACCAGGATTGCATCTGGGCTCTTTAGTGATAGCTCCCAGGAGACTCTTACATGGAGCTGCTCAGGTCTTGAGCTGTTGCTGATTTAATGAGACACAGAACAGCTGCTGAGCTGCAGGCCCATGTTGAGAGGAGCCGTGGATCCCCAGAGTACAGCTCTGCAAAATATTACAGTGATCCAACAAAGGTTGACTAAGGTGTGCTGAGCTGGAAACATTGAGGACAGTCTGCTCTTGCAGTGGCACGCATTGTCTGGTTTGCATTCCAGCAGAGCTCCTAATTACTTAATTGGATTCATTAGTTAATTAGTTCTGTCCAGGTGTTTAGCCTGGGTCTCTCTGGGGAACTTGGGTACATATATCAGGTGACCTGCATCTGAGAATTTAAGTATTATTTGAAAATTACTGGGGTGATGTACCCCAGTGTAGATGGCCTCAAGACGTATTTGAAACTGCAGATGGGTAAGGGTGAGATGCAGTCTTACAGGGCTGCACTGTTGACACTGTTGGTGATTTGTCTCTACACGTTTGTAGTGATCTGAAAAGCTGAGTTCTGAATCAGGAAAGGCTGGATAATTGATTTTTGCAAAGACTGGTTGCTCTCTAAGATGGTTTGTAACCAAGGAATGTCATACTAGAAGCCTGCTCTGACATAGTCAAAACAGGTATTGTGAGTTGATTGCGCTGAAGGTGTGAGCTCAACAGCTCGTCTTTCTGTTTGCTCCTGTGGGCACAGGGGTGAGCACGTTATTTCTTCATGTTCTCTTCTTCTTGCCCCCCTGGCACACAGCACCAGTGATATTTCAGCAGTCCATCACGTAACTACATGTACATCTGCAGTATTACTGGGTCACGCGAGACAAAAATAAATGCCTGAACTTTGCATTCATCTGCATTACTTCTGCAGAACTAATGATTCTGTTTGTAAAGTCTATGTCCTGGGGTGTGTATGATGCTTAAACAAAACTCCGTACAGATTGTGTAATAACTGCCGATGACATATCTGCAGAAGACAGGCTTCGGCATGCTGCCTTGATTGTATGTTTCAGCAGAGTGCTTAATGACATAAGTGTGATGCTGTTAAATTATCTCTTAAACAGATACTTAGCAGCGATCTGTCATGACTTTCACACATCAGGAAAGGTAGTATTCTCTTATTGGGAAGAGGTAATGGGTTTATTCCCTGCTGAAAAGAGAGGAGAGAAAACACAACTTTTCGGCTGTGAAGCCTTCTGCAGGTGTGAGCTATTCTCTTATTGCTGACGCTGGAAGGCAGGATTTTCTGAACAATAGTCCCCCCTAGTGGTAAAACAACAAAACGACACAGGATAATTTTTTGTCTTCCTAGTTCAGTATATTTTGTTGCGCCTCTCTCCCAACGCAGCTTTCCTTAAAAGAAATTGCTGAGACACAGGGATGACATGAAAGGAGCTCTCACCAGGCTGTGTGGGAGGAGCCCTCTTGCTGGGTGTTTTGGATGTCGTGTCCCCCAGTTAGGCTCTCAGCTGCAGCTGCTGGTGAGGGCGCAGGAGTCCACAGCCCTGCTGCTGGGCTGTGTTCGCATGGTGCTGACCTGTTCGCGGCAGGCCTGCGGCACCGGTTTCTTCTGCCTCTTAAGAACACGAGACAGGTTAAACAAGAGGAGGCCATTCAGCCTGTCCTGCCCAGTTAGTACCTTTCCAGGTGGATGCTGCACATTGGTGGTGGTGGAGGGGAGTCTCCATTACCTGTAAAATGCTTTGAGGGGAGTGTCCAGAAAAGCGCTATATAAGTGTAAGCAATTATTATTATTATTATTATTATTATTATTATTATTATTATTATTACCTAATCGACCCAAGTGTCTCATCCAGCTGCTTTTTGAAAGAAGCCAGGTTGTTGGCTTCCACAACAAGGCTGGTCAGCTTGTTCCACACCCCCACCACTCTTTGGGTGAAGACGTGCCTCTGGCTCTCAGTTTTAAATGCACTTCCCTGTAGTTTCCCCCGGGCGGTCTCTGCGGCGCGCAGACACGAGGGGGAGGGGGGGGGGTTATTCTGGGACGTCCAGGGCTCTGCTGGGAGGATGAGCACCGTACTCGCTCCGTACCCAGGCCCCTGATCTGCGCAGGCGGGGCGGCGCAGGGAGAGGGCCCGGGAGACGAGGGGGGCGCTCACGCTGCCGTTGTGCCCGCAGGCCCGCGGAGCTACACCACCGGCACCATGACGGACCGCTTCGACTGCTTCTACTGCCGCGACTCGCTGCACGGGAAGAAGTACGTGAAGAAGGAAGACAAGCACTGCTGCGTGCGCTGCTTCGACAAGCTGTGCGCCAACACCTGCGCCGAGTGCCGCCGCCCCATCGGCGCCGACTCCAAGGTGGGCCGCCGCCGTGTCCGTCCGTCCGCCCCCGGCGTCTCTGCCCTTGGCTCTGCGCTGCCCGTCCCAGCATGCCCTGCTCCCGCCTGGCCTCCGCTCGTCTGCGTTCCGCACCGCGTGCTCCCCCCCGCGCCTGCGCTGCTGCCCTTTGTTGTTTCAGGGTTTTTACTCCGGAGTGATGCCACAGCTGGGAGATCACCGGCCGCAGTCTGAGCGGAACTGCTCGCTCAAGGGTACGACAGCGGTTCCTCACCCTGGAATCGAACCCGCAGCCCCTTCCTGTTGGTCCAGGGGGGCAAAGCCCTGCCCTGCTGCCCCAGCCTTGGCTCGGCTGCCTGAGGGAACGAGTGATGCACAGCTCTCTCTCTCTCTCTCTCTCTCTCTCGCCCCGGGCTGCCCCGTGGGCCGGCCCTGCGTCAAGCCCTCTCTCTCTCTCTCTCTCTCGCCGTGCAGGAGCTGCACCACAAGAACCGCTACTGGCACGACGACTGCTTCCGCTGCGCCAAGTGCTACAAGCCGCTGGCCAGCGAGCCCTTCAGCACCAAGGATGACAAGATCCTGTGCGGAAAGTGCAGCTCCCGGGAGGACTCCCCCCGCTGCCACGGCTGCTACAAGCACGTCCTGCCAGGTAGCCCCCGGCCGGGCTGGCCTGAGCTTCCGCGGGCCACGGCGCCCGTGGGCCATGCTCTGCGCACTGCATGCTGGGAACCGCCCCGGGTCGCGCACCGGCCAGCCGGTTGGCTGGCTCGGCGTGCGTAGGCTGCAAGGGAACAGGATGGTGCTGAACGGTAAAGAAGACACCCGATCGAGGCCCCGCAGCCAAATCGGAGAGTTTCTTCTCTGTACCTTCCAGCAAGGAATGATCCTTCACCTGATCCTTTGCAACTTGATGCCTATAATTACATGCAACAAACGAGGAAGCCATCTCATTTACTGTGATGGCGTAGCTATTTTTTTAAGCATACGAAAGCAGCCTGCTGGTGTTAGAAAGGCTGTTAAGACTGCACTGTTTATCAGCAATTGTCATTAATTTGATGATCTCTTTGTCCTGTTATCTGGCACTGCTTTTTGGCCCAAATTGTCCACCGCCGTATATATTTTCATTGGAACTAAAAAAAAAAAAACATCCTTATAGCAATGCCTGGGTGACTCTTGAAGGCAGTTAGTTGTCCGTGGAAGAAGTCCAAGGAACAACGGCAGGGAGGTCCTCTTGGTACTGCGCTGGGAGGAGCTCTGTACTGACCCCTGCTGGTCTGCGCCCTCTCTGCAGGCTCTCAGAACGTGGAGTACAAGCACAACGTCTGGCACGAGGACTGCTTCACCTGCTTCCAGTGCAAGCAGCCCATCCGCTCGCAGAGCTTCCTGACCAAGGGAGACGACATTTACTGCTCCCCCTGCCACGAGAAGAAGTTCGCCAAGCACTGTGTCCACTGCAAGCAGGTAAGGCCCTGTGGCTGCACGATTTCCCCCTGAAGCCCTCACTGCCTGAAGACCAGGGCGCAGCCGTTATTTAGACCAATTGAGTTGATATCTGAGACAGTCGACAGAAAGACCCGCGGCTCTCCTGGAACAGAACAGCGCCTCACTGTGGGTTTTATGGTGTTCTGTGTCCCTGTGTGGGCGTGAAGGCCATCACCACCGGGGGCATCAGCTACCAGGACCAGCCCTGGCACGCCGAGTGCTTCGTGTGTCTGACCTGCAAGAAGCCCCTGGCCGGCCAGCGCTTCACCTCCCACGAGGACCAGGTGTACTGCGTGGACTGCTACAAGACCTCCGTGGCCAAGAAGTGCTCCGGCTGCCAGAACCCCATCACTGGTGAGCCGTGTGCACAGGGGGAGGGGACCGGCCGAGACACAGGGGAGAGGGGAGAGGAGGAGGCCAGGGAGC